GGTCTACACTTAAAAACAATCGGCGCAGACCAAATCCCCACCTGTTAGCTGCAGAAGGCCACCCTACTGAGATCTGCATGTATTATTTGCTCATACATCAGAGAGCCCTAGACACTTAGGAAGTCTCCAACGTGGGATCGAATACAAAAGCCAGCATCGTGATCTTGTTTGCTGTGTACTAATCTTGTTGTCTGTCAAATAATAATTATTATTTACTGGTTGCCACTGCTGTCCCTGGCCTCCTTGTCTCCCTCCCAGGCCTTTGTGCTCCTGAGCGACCTCCTCCTCATCTTCAGCCCACAGTCGACCCAAAGAGGAGGAGGAGGAAGCAATGAGGGCCTGGCGGCTCTGACCTATCAAGCGGACCCGGCTCTGCACTCTCAGATGGCGGGGTTCCTGGTAGACCACGTCTTCAACCACTGCCAGGATCAAGGTCAGGGAGGGGTAGCCCTGCTTTTTTTTGGGGGGGGGGGGGGGTGTTGTGGAGCCTGGGATGAGCAGGATGGACACGATCAAAGTCTCTTCCCCCCCTCTTTCCGCTTTTTGGCTTCAGACAGCATTGTGGGCGAAGAGGAGGACAGCGAAGCGCTCCACATTGAGCGCCTGCACCAGCGTCGCAACCTCCTGGCTGGGTTCTGCAAGCTGGTCATCTATGGGGTGCTGGAGCTGAGCGCTGCCTCGGATGTCTTCAAGTACTACGCCAAGGTGCGTGTGAGCAGGAGGGAAGGGTGCCCATCTGGGCCAATCCTGGAGCCTGCAATGGGTGGTATGTCTCTATGTGGGGGCTGTTCCCTGCCTGAGACCCCTCCAGTGCCTCCTGGCTTGCTTCCTTGCCTGCAAAGGGTCCTCTGGAAGGGGTCAGTTCCTCTACTGGCCACAAAGAACACAGCCGATGGGAACTGGGGTCTGCATCCCACCCATAATGCCCCTTCCCAGCTTTTCCCAAGAAGTTTCCAGTGTTGTTGTTCTTCCCGGTCACTTCTAGAGAATCCTAACCTCCTCTTCTCCTTCTGCCCTTTGCTTTCTGTGGCAGAGAAAAAAAGAATCCTTCAGTTCCAGAGGCCTGGTGGACAGGTGGACAGATCTTTCTATAGCCCACTGTCCGAGAGGCCTGCTTCCCCAACCTCCCCTCTTCGATAGATACGTAAATGCTAGATATGTGGAAGGGTTCGACTGTTTGACCAGAGACAAACTAACCCGTTTGGAAAGGTTTGGCCATCCTTTTTAGCAGAAGACTAACTGCACCCGTTGCTGTGGTCAGCCTTCCCTCCCTCTTTCTCTCCTCCTTTCTTTCTCGCCTTCCGTTTTTTCTTTCCTTCTCTCCTTCCTTCCTTCTCTTCCTCTTCCCTTCCTTCCTTCCCCTCCCTTTCTTTCCCTTCCTCTTTCTCTCCTAATTTCTTTCTCTCCTTCCCTTTTTTCTTTCCTTCTCTCCTTCCTTCTCTTCCTCTTCCCTTCCTTCCTTCCCCTCCCTTTCTTTCCCTTCCTCTTTCTCTCCTCCTTTCTATCTCTCCTTCCCTTTTTTCTTTCCTTCTCTTCCTCTTCCCTTCCTTCCTTCCCCTCCCTTTCTTTCCCTTCCTCTTTCTCTCCTCCTTTCTATCTCTCCTTCCCTTTTTTCTTTCCTTCTCTTCCTCTTCCCTTCCTTCCTTCCCCTCCCTTTCTTTCCCTTCCTCTTTCTCTCCTTTCTTCCTTCCTTCCCTTTTTTCTTTCCTTCTCTCCTTCTCTTCCTCTTCCCTTCCTTCCTTCCCCTCCCTTTCTTTCCCTTCCTCTTTCTCTCCTCCTTTCTATCTCTCCTTCCCTTTTTTCTTTCCTTCTCTTCCTCTTCCCTTCCTTCCTTCCCCTCCCTTTCTTTCCCTTCCTCTTTCTCTCCTTTCTTCCTTCCTTCCCTTTTTTCTTTCCTTCTCTCCTTCTCTTCCTCTTCCCTTCCTTCCTTCCCCTCCCTTTCTTTCCCTTCCTCTTTCTCTCCTTTCTTCCTTCCTTCCCTTTTTTCTTTCTTCTCCTCCTTCCTTCCTTCCTTCTCCTTCCTTCCTTTCCTTCCTTCCTTCCTTCCTTCCTTCCCCTCTTTTCTTTTCCTTCCTCTTTTCCCCTTTCTTCCTTCTCTAACTATTCTTGGACTGCAACTCCCAGCAGTCCTCCTGAGCGATCTACCTACCTATCGATCTCTATCTAATCTATCTGGAGGATTTCTGGGAGTTGCAGTCCAGGAACAGGAAATTGGAAATCTGCAGGGATTGGGATGCTCTCAAATAAATCCAAGGAGAAGAAAGTTTGCATCTTGGAAGCAGTGCATTTGGATCATCTTCCTCTCCTAAAAGGCCTGGTCTAGGGGATGCTGGGAGCTATAGTTCCAACAGACCTCACAACCTCTGAGGATGCTTGCCATAGATGCAGGCGAAACGTCAGGAGAGAATGCCTCTAGAACATGGCCATATAGCCCGAAAAAACCTACAACAACCCAAATACGCAGTACTTCGTAAGATACACATATTAAAACATACATCCATAAAATGTGTATCAAAATACGCACACAGTTTAAAATCCACCATTAAAACTGCGTAGCCAGATTCCATAGCACCAGGTTCCATAGTGTTCAGGTCACAAGAGCCCCGCAAAACCCACTTATTTCCAGGCTTAGAGAGGCACCCCTTTTGTCACACCTGCTTATATAGAACTGCAGATTTTGCTGAATCATTGCATCCATTTAACCCTTTGTGTGCTTGACTCACATTTTTGCAACTAGTCAATTTTTAATATTTCTTGACAGCTCCAGGCTGCCTCGCCTGCTTCTGTGGAGACCCCAAACCAGACTGAACTGGGGGGACTGGCTGGCATTTGGGAGGAGGGCGCCCTTGCCCCATTGCTAAGAGATCCTGTGCCCCTTTCCCCCTCCTTTGAGACCCTAGGCCAGTGATGGGCAACCTTTTGAGTGTGGTGTGTCAAAATTCGCCAAAAAACTGAGCATAATTCAGGTGGTGTGTCACTTCAAGAAAAAAAACCATAATTTCGCAATATTTAGTTTAAATAACAAAAAATATATAATTGTAATTCCCACTTTCTCTCTTATCATGTTGTTCTACCTCTCTTTATGTAAATAATATCCTTTTTGGAGTGTTTAATAAAAATATAATTTAAAAAACCCAACAAAATATTATTTATTTTTAATTTAATTTAAATGTATTTCTAGCATTTAATATGCTATTTAATGTATTTCTAATAATAATAATAATAATGCAATAACAATAAAGTAACATTGCAAAATAATATTTTGATATTTAATTTACCATTTCATTTAAGGCATATATATATCTATATATATAGGCATATATTTAAAAATATTTAAAATGCATTAAATTAAATGTCAAATTAAAATTCAATTTACCATTTCATTTAAGGCATTCTGAAATATTTGAGTAATATAGCAAAGTATTATTTATCATTTAATTTATTTTAAATACGTAACTCCTTAATATTTAGGAAACAATGCAAAATAATATTCGTTTCCTTAATAATTAAATAAACCAATATTATTTTGCAATGTTACCTAAATATTAATAATAATTAAATATTTTTAAATTTGACATTTAATTTAATGCATTTTAATATTTGAATAATATAGCAAAGTAATAGTATTTATCATTCAGTTTCAATATGAAACTCCTTAATATTTAGGTAACATTGCAAAACAATAATTTCTTTCCTATTTATTTTTTATTATTATTTATTATTATTTTTTATTATTTTTTATTTTTTAAAATGGCATAAAATAAATAAACAAATAATATCTGGCAGGCGCGTGTCAGTACAAATGGCTACGCGTGTCATAGGTTCGCCATCACGGCCCTAGGCATCAGAGCCCCATGTGGCTTCAGGCTGCAAAGGAGGAGGAGGTGGCGGCGCTGACCTCCGCCTGACTCTCGGCTCTTTTGCCGGTCCAGTACTACAATGACTATGGGGACATCATCAAGGAGACGCTGAATCGGGCCCGCCAGATCGACCGGACAGAGTGGGCGCAGACCCTGCTCCTCAGCCTGCAGCAGGTATTTGGGAGGGAATTGGCATGGGGCGAGGGAGGGGTGCCTGGCTGGCGGCCAATGAGGAACCCACTTTCTCCTCTTCTGTCAGCTGCTGACCGAGCTGCTCCTGGAAAAAGGGCCCGCAGGCATGGAGTCGGAGGCCTTCCAGGAGATCCGGGACCTGGCGCGGCGCTTCTCCCTGCTCTTTGGGCTGCATCAGCTCCAGAACCGCTCGGCCCTTGTGGCTCTGCACAAGTGAGGAAACCGTTTATTTATTTGTCATGTCAGGAGCAACCAGACATTTGTATTACATTTTTTTCACTTTCTTGGTGTCTATTTTACTCCTGTGAATTAGTCAAATTCAGAACTTTGATTCAATTGAGTGGATAGTTATATGAATTTATAAAAAAAATGAATTAATTGATTAATCAATTAAACTATCAGCCCACCAGGACCCTAAGATCTTCTGGAGAGTCCCTGCTCTCTATCCCACCGGCTTCCCAAGTGCGGCTGGCGGGAACGAGAGACAGGGCCTTCTCTGTGGTGGCCCCTCGGCTTTGGAACACCCTCCCTATAGAGATACGATCAGCCTCTTCGCTGATGGTCTTTCGGAAGAGATTAAAAACATGGTT